GATTTAGTAATTGACCTAATCTCAATATCGTTGTGTCTCAGGGAATAAGGAGACCCGAGGAGATCAAGAGAAATGGGGAAACGGCCTGTTGATGGAGCAGTCAGAACATACACAACATTTATGGATTAAGTTCACCTTCTTATAAGGGTGTGATTCATGGTGCCCCAAAACAATTACAATAATAACATCAAAGATCACTGATCACAGATCCCCATAACAAGTAAAATAATAATGAAAAAGTTTGAAATATTATGAGAATTACCAAAATGTGAGACAGAAACTTGAAATGAGCACATGCTGCTAGAAAAATGGTACTGATAGACTTGCTTGACTCAGAGCAGCCACAAACATTCAATTTGTAAAAAAACAAAACAAAACAAAACAATACTTGCAAAACTCAACAAAGCAAAACACCATAAAATGAGGTATACCTGAAAGTGAAACAATCACTTTTAAGATGACAAGGAATGATAGGTAGTATGGTGAACTGTGGAAAGAATGAACCAACCTAAAGCATTACCAAAGGCATCTAAACACGGTGTCAGCCGAACAAAACACATCTCCATGTCCACATCTTTCAAGATCGCCAGTTTTTATTTCCATGCTGGTGTGAAAGCTGGGGAGAGCCACCAACAATGGACATCACAGTAGTTTCCAAAGAATCTTCCCTCACCATGAAATGCCTTGGTTCAAGGTAAACCCATAGAACCCAACCATAGAGCCTGGGGACATGAAGAGAGGAAATCCCAACAATGACTAAAGATACAATTTCCCCCCATCCCAGTGGAATGAGACTTAGATTCATAAAATATTTTGAGTTATAGGAAATAAAGAAAGTGTCATTTCCTATACACTTCATTTTGTAGACTGACATTTACATTAGCTAACCCTCCATGCAGCAAAATCCGAATCTGAACTAGTCTCTTTTTCCTTCACTTTTGTTTGAAACCATGTGAATATTTATGGAGTAACAAAGGTTACTTCCTGGACTAAAGCTCTGTACAATAAGGTGTTATTCTCTCTTATTCTCCCTCCAAAGACGTCTCCATCAGTCATTCCAGACAACTGGTGCAGAGCCCCGCTTCTGTGCTACAGGCACAAGGAGAGTCTCAGGTCTCCGCCTGTGTTGACTTAGCACACTAAGTACAGTTTGGGACTTGGGTCTTATATACATTTGTCTTATATTAATTTGTCCTGGGATTTTCTGTGAAGCATTGAAATTAAGCCATATTTTGGCCCAAGCCTTTCACATTTCAGTTCTACGAGAAGTGCCGGACTCCCTGTTTCTTCCCTCAGCTGAAATAAAGCTTTCTCTGTTCCCAGTTAATGAAAAAAACAAGCCCAAAGTTCCCTTGTTTGATCCTCCAGACGTATCGGAAATTTCACTTGTACGTCAGCTGACGTGGTCATCCGTGCTGTCATCCCCATCGTGCTCCTCCAGGTGCTCTCTGGGACTCTGCATTCTGGTTCTTTCCCCTAATTTACAGTTTTCATCTATCAGTACTTTCCCCATGGAAACAACTCTGAGCAAAATGATGATTTTTAAAATTTATTCTCTTTATGTTTATGCAATCAATTTCCTCTAAGTCAAAAGCTTTGTTTACTTTTGTTTCCCACAGAGCAACAGTGTATCTAGATCCTACCAGAAATGGGTTTCTTAAGAATTTGGTTTTATCTTATAACCTAAGAGGTAATATGGTTTTGAGTTTTAAATGTATTATTTTTTCTCATTTCCTTAAACTTTTAGAAATTTCCCTTTTAGTTCTTCTTTCTGAGATTAAGCATATTAAACTTTTCTTCCTTTGGAATTCCAGGTAGCCAAAATAACAAATCCAATCTTCAGTCTACCTCCATGCTTGACTGCAACAATCAGACCAAATACTAAAGATCTGTGTTTTCTGGTTTTGTTTTTGTTTTATCACCATAGTAAAAGTTTGAAGTTTTGCGAACTCCCTTGGTAAAAATATTCCAACTTCTTACACCCTTTAATGAGGAAGCTCTCTTAAAAGACTAATTTGAGATTTTCAGCATTCAGTTAAGGTGTTTCCTTTTTACAGAGTTCTTACAGATTAGCTTATATTTGGTACATTAAGACTTTTTGCCCTTTTTGTTCCTCCACTGTTTTTTTTTCTTCTGTGTTTCTCCAACCCATACAAACAAAAGTGTGGACTATATATGAAATGGCTGAAGCTCTACTTCTATTATTAAATAGATGATGTCTCAAATTACTCCCCCCCCCCCAAAATGGTCTCAATGGCATCAGCTAGTAATAGCAACAGGAACACTGCAAAGAGAATGGGACCAAAACCCACAATGAGCCCCGTGTACTCTGACAGCAAAGAGGAAAAAGAGAACATGAAAATCCCCTCCTCACCCCGGAGGCCCCTTTTGTGTTGTTCCTGCCGACGCAGCAGCCCTCCTGCTATATAGACCCGCGCGCC